TTTTATTAACCGGTAATCGATTTTGAAAACGCTAACCGGTCTACCGGCTATTGTTTAACGCCCCCCAATAAATATACCGCGGGACATCCAACGTGGGAACTAGTGGAGGAAACTGCCTCCGCCGCCATCCTACGATCCTGGTTCGATTCCAGGTCACGGACATCAAGTGGTAGCTGCTATCTGAAGCGAAGCACGCTTTAGGTAGACTCGGCCCGAATACTGTCACGAGCTGCTGCTGCTGCTGCTGCTACTGCGTAGTCAGCAGCAGCACAGGATCACAGAGAAAGCTGGGGACTGAATTGATCCGATCAACACCATCCTCCGTGCGCGTCACAATAGGGGGCCTAGCTAACGGCCATCGCCCCGTCGGAGATGAGCAGACAACGTCTCGTCAATATTGATGTCCATAATCCGTCTCTCCACAGACACGTGTTAAGTATTTGTTCCACGACCCAATCGGCCCAACGCACCCTCTTCTGGGAGTGAGATTCATTTTTTTTCAGCAGCAATTGATTCAGCACAAGCAAACTCTCAAACTCAGCCCGCCATCCCGAGTAGGCTAAACACATACGGCCCTGCTGTGTGGTGCTCTGCCAATTATTATAAAGTTTCCAATTGTTTAAACAAAACAGAGAGAGTTATTCGTAAAACGGGCAGTTTGCCGTCCCCGTGACGGTTAGTAAAACACTGGACTTACAATTGAGAAGTCTGAAAAATAAGAACAGGTTTTATATTTTCTGCCAATAAAACAGACGTTAAGATGTTCGGACACCAAATGGAGACATTTTGCAAGGAATCAAATCTGCATTAACCACACACAGTACGCGTGGTGAACATGCAAACAGAGCATTGCTCTGATAACATACGGGCGCTGTCTTGGAAACCGGTTGGCCTACAAAAAGGAACCCACGATAATTGAGAAGTCGCCGGTTCGATTCGATTCCCCGGCGCGGCAGTTGTGACACGAGCAGGTTGCTCATCGCCCGCACCTCTGTCCAGCCAGCAGCTGACATTGGGCAGTCGATCGGTGGCAGGTCGCGTGGTGGCGGTGGTGGTGGTGGTTGTAAAGTGTGGGCATGCCGCACCTTCACCCAACAACGTCCGGTTGAACGCGGAAGAGTAGAACAAGCACCCCCCCCCCACTCCCTCCTGCTCGAGTTCGCTCTAATGCGGAGGCCCTTCCACCAACGGGACCGTGTAGCAAACGATTGCGGGGTTGCGCTTCGACCTTGTCATTTCGTAAAACAGAAAACCAAAAAGTGGGCGAGCCGTCAGGCGGCAGGAGGCAGGCGCACTGCGCCGTGATCCGGCGGCCTCAGGGTTTGATTCTCGGCCATGGTTTAAGGTCAGCGAGGAGCCACAACCCTTCACCGCCAACCCCCCATGCCCAGCCCGGTGAAGTATGCGGTCAAACAACCACGGCGTTAGGAGGCCATCACCCGGTTGCGGATTGCCAAAGGCCCTTACATTTTTTCATTCGTCAAGGCAAATGTGTACAAATTATGGGCCACGAATGGATGACCTCGTCTGGCGAACGAAACATTTCATAACGGGGAGAGGGCGCGTGAGTGCTGTGCTGTGATCGGCGAGCCACGCGACCCTCGCCTGGGTAAATATGCGACTGCACGGACACCCCGTGGCCAATGCTGTACGCTCCACGCGTGTGTGATGATGCATCGGTGTGTGATGCAGTGGGGCGTGTGATGTAAGGAAGTGTGTGATGCAGCAGGGCGTGATGCAGCAGGACGTGATGCAAGAGATGTGTGATGCAGCAGGGTGTGATGCAGGAGGGTGTGATGCAAGGGATGTGTGATGCAGCAGGGTGTGATGAAAGGATGTCTGTGATGCAAGGAAGTGTGTGATGCAGCAGGATGTGATGCAAGGAAGTGTATGATGCAGCAGGGTGTGATGCAGCAGGGTGTGATGCAGCAGGGTGTGATGCAGCAGGGTGTGATGCAAGGAAGTGTGTGATGCAGCAGGGTGTGATGCAGCAGGGTGTGATGCAGCAGGGTGTGATGCAGCAGGATGTGATGCAAGGAAGTGTGTGATGCAGCAGGGTGTGATGCAGCAGGATGCGATGCAAGGAAGTGTGTGATGCAGCAGGGTGTGATGCAGCAGGATGTGATGCAAGGAAGTGTGTGATGCAGCAGGATGTGATGCAAGGAAGTGTGTGATGCAGCAGGGTGTGATGCAGCAGGATGTGATGCAAAGAATGTGTGATGCAGCAGGGCGTGATGCAGCAGCGTGTGATGCAAGGAATGTGTGATGCATGCCTGTGTGATGACCAAAATCTAAGAGGGGAGCAAAACATCGATTCATCTAATTATAACGATTATTAAGCTCAGGATATATGCATTGGACAGAGTGTGTGAGAATCGATGTTGTACGTAAGTGGGTTCAAGTGACTCACTCTAGCCGATAGAGGCCGCTATATTAACACAAATTACAGCATTAAAAAAGAATCGATTCTTTATTTTATGAAATTAATTCGCGACCCTGCATCGTGAGTGAGCGCGAATCGTTGAACGCCGACCCTGAACGACCCCGCTGCCCCCAGAGCATGTGGATAGTGCGAGATGCATCACGCAAATCCGAGACGCCGGCGCGCACATCTACCGCACAAACACATGTCCTGTGCCACGTTGCTGTTCTCTGTTCTCAATGGCCCAGAGTATTGGCACTCTTCTCTTCCTGAGCATGATGGCAGCGATAACTTCGGGAGCTTAAATGCCAGTGTCGAGGTCTGCTGGCCACGCGGAGGGGGATTTAGGGAGAGAGAGTTCCTGGAGTTTTGCGATTCCTTTTCTGTTGAAGGAGCGCAGACTACGGTGGTTTACTATATGGTCCATGGTGTCTCGATTGATCTGGCCGATATACAAATATAAGATCGGACAGCTTATCAAGATGCGTTCAACAGTCCACGCTCTGCTGACGAGACTCAGAGAAGGCAGGGGGGTTGTCTGCTTAAACAAACGCTGATGCCATGAATATTATTTGACTCTTACGTGGTGATAAATAAAATATTCGATAACGACGACAAGTTTCAGGCAGAGTCAAGTTCAAACGTCAAGTGGCTCACTGCGCACACGAGCAGCGAGACAAGGCTCATTTGCATTGCTGGCCCTCAGCCAACGGTGGGAATTCCACATTCCCACGGCGGGGGTGGAGGGCAGTCTCGTGAAGAGACGACGTCCTCTGACTTTCCACAAATTGATGCCAATGTTTGTCGACTCTGGTAGGGACTAGTGCGTAGCATCCACCAGATTTGTATTTACACTTTAGACTATTCGATAGTGAGTTGATGGCATCAATGTAGTGTACACAGGTGCCATTCATTTCACGTACGCAACACGTGACGGTCATCGTATATATATGACACGCGTGTGAAAAAGTATGGTCACTCCGCTAAAGATATCGTAAAAATGGGAACAAGCTCGTGGAGTTTGCCTGGGTAGAGAGCCGCCCACGGAATAACTCGAAGAGGCGCATCGCTTGGGGCAATACACGTGAACATGCGGCATCACGCTCACTATTCAGAACAAGCACGTGGATGTGTGTGTGTGTGCTGCTGGACACTGGCACTGCACGGAATGACAAGCTGTGGTGAAGAGCTCCGGACAGATTTGGGCAGCCAGGGACAGAAACGCGTGCACGGGGACACCGGGGAGAGAAACGGTGAAGACGGCACAGCCACTCGTATCATACGAGTTTGCATCTATTGCGCGCTTAATTGCTACATCTCAAACCAACGACGATACAAATGTATTATTGTCACGACAAGGATGATGATAACTCTGATAATTGATGAGGATGATGGTGGTGTTGATGGTAACATTGATGTGGTGGATACTGATGATGATGCTGGGGATGATGATGAGGGTGATGATGATGATGAAGTGGAGGACAATGATGTATAATAAGACGTAGGTGATAGCGATGACTGTGCTGCTGCTGATGACGATGATGGTAATGATGCAGCCACAGTAATGCACTAACCTGTTTAACGTAACGCAGAGTGTCGCCGCGCATGCACACACGTGTCGGGACCACACGCACACACAAACACCAAGCAGGCTACAGACATCCTCGGCAACAGCCATCCGACAGCACGGGCGCCTTCACTCACGACTGTACAGGTCGTCCCAATGCGCATTCTACCTGAGCCGCACAACAGAAAAGCTCCCTCATTTTGTACCCACGGATGTGAGCAATTTCACAGAGTCTGCAACCGTATTCATTCCTGCTTAGAGACGCACAAACAATAGATCTGTATGTGAAACAACAAAAACGAAACGTTGTAGACCGAACATCGCCCTGCGATCGTCTGTTCCGGGTGCATTTCAAGAGTGGCGCCTGGTAACGACAAGCATACATGGGTGGGTTTATGTCGTGATTACTCTCAGCGAAATTAACAATTACCCACCGCATTAGGAGTACGGAATTACGGCCGAGCGCCACCTTCACCTCGGCACGCATCAGCAACACGGATCGCGCGTCGAGCACGCCGCGGTGCCTTTGGAATTGGCAAACGGAACCCGGACGGGACTCTCGAACCGGAGATCCGTGAACCTCAGAGGCAGGCGCACAAACCGCGATCGTGGGTTACGGCACGCGTCCGCGTAAATGCGAGAAATACGGACGCCTACAACAACAACAACAACGACGACGACAACGACGACGGCGAGAACAACACACAAAGCACACATCCACACTTTCATAGCCTCCCTCCCTCCCCCCCCCCTACAAATTTAGAACAATTTGCCATCTCATCACCATCACGACACGCAACGAGGCACGCTCGTTGCCTGGCGCGTGCAGACGAGAGGGATGGAGAGAAATAAAAAAAAATTGCTATCTCAGAAAGGAGACGCCTGTTGAAACACAATCAGTCCTGCGATCTTGCGCGCACACACACACACGGACGGACGGGCAACAGATTCGCGCGCAGCAGCGGGCAAAATCGCAACTACACGGAGCAACGCAGACAGATCCTCGCTCACCTTATCCCTCTGTTATTTTCCTCTGCGTCTTGGCTTCCGTTAAAGTCCCGGGATGGCTGTGCCGCCGGCTCCCGGAGATGCGGACGAGAGCGCGAGAGAGAGAGGGAGAGACACACACACACACACACTTGCTGCTTCGTCTCGGTAGCTTCTCTGTGCCCCCCCCCCACCACCTTGTTACGCGGCAGGAGCTCAGGCGAGACGCGACGGCCGCGTCTCTAGCTCGCTGCGAGATGCCGTCGATGCGTTCGAGAAATCGTCCCGGAATCCGGAGCTGCCGCGCGCATGGTTCCTCCACCCTTCGCCGTTCCTCCGTTTCACCGCCCGCACCTCCCGTCCGCTAACAGCCGCTGCGAGCGTCACGGAGCGCGGCCGCGCGCGGACTCTCAGCGCCTCCAGAGCTGACACCGACACCGTCACCGCCACCGGCGCGGACGAGACGAACGTGGCGGCGGGGGCGACAGACGAGGCGCCGAGCGGCACCCTGCCGGGGAGGGTTGAGCGGCCACCAGCCCCAGACCTTTGTCGCTGTGCCGCGAGTAGCAGCTGCCCATTTAACCGTTTATGTTCACGAATGCACCTCCACCATTCGGCGAGGTCTATTTATTATAATGATAATATTATTATTATTCTTACTACTACTACAGCAATGTCCTTTGTTTACACAAGAAATCCCGACTGAGTCCCATTGCTTCTTTTTGCAAGAGGGGTCCTCCTCCTGCATCGGGGAGATGTGCGGTCAATTCCATTAATGTTTGGTTTCGTGTGCGAGGAAACCAGAGAATCAAAGGATACGAGGCGGGGGGGAGGCGTAGTACTGAATTCTCTGCGCAGATGGCTTCAATAATCCATTGTTCGACCACCTTTTGGCTACGTCGTGACAGCCATGGGCAATGGCATTATTTTTTGCACCATCAGATTGAAGGCATGCAGACGATCCGAATCCAATTTCACGTTCTTTTTTTAAGAAGATGCGTGGGGGTTGTTTAGGCGTGACTTGAGAGGTCCTTGGGACAAGTGTCGAGTTGGTGGTAGTGGGAATTGCGGGTCTCATATTAAAATCAAGGCTCATTCAACGAGCGAATTGATAAATCACCGGCGGCGGCGGCGCTGGCGTGAAACTGTAGAGTTCTGTGGAAGTAAAATACAGTTCACACGGCTATTGGGATATAATAATAATAATCTATGCCTCAAGTTTCCGAGCTGTCTACCCCGGCGATAACGTCGCTGTTTAGTAGTTGCTGTGGGTCGTCGCCTGCGAAGCTAGCTGGGTAGCTGGCTGAACGGCATTTTCCTTGTAACATTTTAAGGAGTTTGGAATACATCTAATAGATGGCGACACCGAATACGTGCGACTTTAACGAATACAAATGACTGACACGGTTCATTTAACATTTCTCAAACTTAAGAATTCTAGATTTAAAGCTTTCGTGACTGCAAGGATCCATACTCTTTGGTTCTATTCGGTAAAATTACGTAATAAAACTTAAGATTGTGTGGTCCTATTAATTTCATTATTTTCTCGGATAAGATTTCAATCATTATGAGACCTCCTTTGCCAGTAACAAGATATAGTAATAGGTTTTCACTCTTTTAGCTGGCACAAAAACTGACACCTTTATACAAGGGATCATGTTTTGTAATAACCATAATACAAGCAGTCAAAAATGCAAACAGTGCATATCATTATCAGAGTTGTCTCTTTTTTTTTGCATTTTTGACAGCTTGTATTGTGGTTATTGCAAACATGATCCCTTGTATAAAGGTATTCAGTTTTTGTGGCAGCTAAAAGGGTAAAAACCTTTTACAATATTTCAATCCTTGAGAATATAAAAAAGTAAATCTTGGCTGTTTAATGACATAACTGAAACCATTACTCTTACGGCTCCGAGTACAGCATTGTGAGAAGAATATGAAAGATACAGCTGTATATATTTTTTTCCATTAAAGAGCAACGAGTTATCTACGAGTTAATAATAATTATTATTGTAATCATCATACTACTATAATGAAGCAAGTGAGAGTTTGTCGCTTACTCTGTCTGTCCCGAATTGTTGTAACTTCTTAAACCATTTTTTTTTAGCGTGTAACATAAGTGAAACGTTTATATTCGATCAAGCATTGATTCTATTTTAACAAAAAATAATGTTAGTTTAAAAAAATATAACTTTCACAAGTTTTCAAGTTTGGGGAAACATTTACACACTCGCTTTACGACGGTGCTCTTCGCGGAACACGTTTTACGACGCCCTATCTAAGGGTCACCGTGGATAGATTTACGGCACTGAACCTCTTCATCACGACCCATCTCCCTCGACTCCACCGTGCAACGTTCCTAGAACGTCCGTGAATTTGATCATTGGTTTTTTACCCTTTTATCTGGCAACAAAACTGACGCCTTTTTTACAAGGAGTCATGTTTACATTGCCCACAATACCTGCGGTCAGAACGCAAACAAAAAACAACAACTCTGATAATGTATGCACTGTCCTTGAAATTGATTGGTCCACACCCGAGACAGCTTTCTTTAGAGCCTCGTCTCACATGGTGTTGGACCAGAAGACGCCAAAAGGCGCACAACTCAAAGGCAATGCACCATCAGAGTATGAGAGCTCGGGGTAAGAATTTACACCATTGGAAACCTCATTTGCCAGTAACAAAATATGATGATTGGTTTTTTACCCTTTTATCTGGCAACAAAACTGACACCTTTTTTACAAGGAGCCATGTTTACATTGACCACAATACCTGCGGTCGGAACGCAAACAAAAAACAACTCTGATAATGTATGCACTGTCCTTGAAATTGATTGGTCCACACCCGAGACAGCTTTCTTTAGAGCCTCGTCTCACATGATGTTGGACCAGAAGACGCCAAAAGGCGCACAACTCAAAGGCAATGCACCATCAGAGTATGAGAGCTCGGGGTAAGCAATTATCATATTTTGTTACTGGCAAAGAGGTTTCCAATGGTGTAAATGCTTACCCCGAGCTCTCATACTCTGATGGTGCATTGCCTTTGAGCTGTGCGCCTTTTGGCGTCTTCTGGTCCAACACCATGTGAGACGAGGCTCTAAAGAAAGCTGTCTCGGGTGTGGACCAATCAATTTCAAGGACAGTGCATACATTATCAGAGTTGTTGTTTTTTGTTTGCGTTCTGACCGCAGGTATTGTGGTCAATGTAAACATGACTGCTTGTAAAAAAAGGCGTCACTTTTGTTGCCAGATAAAAGGGTAAAAAAACAATTATCATATTTTGTTACTGGCAAATGAGGTTTCTAATGGTGTCCGTGAATTTGTTTATATTATATATATAGCACTGGTTGACACTTTAATAACATTCCTTAATGTTACGGTCATTTTAATGTTTCTTACTTGGGAGTAGTTTAGATTGTTACTCGTTGAAGGCCCCAAGCCATCCGTGGGGCCTAGGAGTTGAAAGCCTCACGGGGCCCGAAATAATCTTCTAGTAATAATAATTATAATTGTTTGAACAGGTATCCCCATGTCGTAGCTGATCATCCCAAGCTATAAATGCTCTGACGCGTGCATTGTCTTTGTGCTGTTCGCCTATTTGGTATTGGTCTCTGGTCTGACACTGGTAGTGTGACGAGGCCCCAAAGAAGGCTGTGGTTGTAGGGCAATCGGTGTTCAAGATTATAGAGGGGTTTCCTTTTGGGTTATATCGCGTAAATATATAAATGTGTCGTTAAGCTCGCCACCACCCGACACAGCCAATTTAGTAAGGTTTGTCACGTAAACATAATACGCCAATTCGTTACTAGTTTACACGACAAACCTTACTAATTGGCTGTGTCGGGTGGTGGCGGGTTTAACGATACATTTATATTTACGCGACCTCACCCCCCAAAAAACCCTATATGATATTGGTCACGAAAGCCTACTACGTGTAAAACAGTTTCAAAGACAATCCATATATTATATATAAAAAAATCTATATATTACTAGTTTCATTGCACGTTTTGCCACATGTACGTGTGGTAATGCAGTACTTGATTCCTTGCGAAAGATGTCTATTTGGTATTTGAACATCTTAACACCTGTTTTTTTATTGCCAGAAAGCGTTAAACCTATTATTTTTTCTTCTTTGGTTCTTTCGGTAAAGTCACGTTGAATGAGAATAAAATAATAAATTGATAAAATAAAATAACACAATAATATTTTCACGACGTTTCGGCCACAACACAAGCGGCCTTCATCAGGTGAAGGGACGAGACTGTCTGGTAGGACAGCGCTGGAGTGAAAAAGCCACGTTCAGATCACGACCTTTAAGCTGTGTGAGAGGATTATGTAATTGTGTTAGTTCACTTTTTGAGTCCTGCGGGAAGTACACCAAGGTGGCAAGACACAGCAGGGCGTGTGTTGATATGGGTACATCACATAAAAATTATGGCCAATATCACTGGCCGCTAGGAACCTGTGCTGGGCATCACCGAGGTCACTGAGGCCTGAAATGAGACCTTTCCTTCTGATGGGGTGCGTGACCATCCCGTACGCACTCGGAAGGACGAAGACGGTGTGGCATGGTGCTGGCCACAGCACCCTCGAGTGTGTGATATCTAGACTGAAGAAAACAGTTTTCTTTAGAACTCTTTTTCTGTGTTTAGTTTGTCATCCTTCACCCGCACATCCGATTAGCGCGGTATGGCTACATACGGTGCGAAAGAAGTTCAACGTGCATATCGGCCTTAATAGGTGCTCGCAAACATTACTTGCCCCCTATGAGTAGATAAGACTAAAAGAGTGCCTTTGTTTTAAGTCGTGTGTTGCATTTGAGTATTTCGACTCCTGCGCATAGAGGTTTTTTTTGTCCCCACCGCAGTAAGAGAAAGTGCTGCTGGTATCACCAAGGTTATTAAAGTTAAATACTCCACTTGTTCCGTTGGTTTGTCCATCCGTCTATTATTCTGTTTACAATGATATCTGTGCGCAATTTATACATGGACCATAAGAGGCTGATTGAACTATAGTCATTCAAGTCTGATGTATCGCCCCCGTTTTAACAAAGGAATGATTTGAGACATCAGTCTTGTGATTGCAGTATTTTTTTCCGTACAAATGTTTCGTGAACAAGCGCACAGAGGTTCCCGTTGTTTAACAATGTCCAGTTATACCACTGGCTCCACGAACTTTCTCCCTCACCGTGCCGCGAAGGGCATCATATCCAGAGCTGCCTCCTCTCTTCGTCGAGATCGTCGGTCTTCATTCATGCGCTACGTGAACGTTGTTCGTTGTCGAGATCAGTGGTACAAAATTCCTCCGCTAAATTTTCAAGACTCGTCTCTTTCCTGAATGATGCTTCCAACACTGTCCTCAAATACTGGCATTTGTGAACTTTCAATCGTCTACGCCACCCTGCCTCCAAGCTCCCATTGCTTGCAAAATCTTCAATCAGTACTCTGTGGGTTTTTCGGTAAAGTCACGTAGATAAAAAAAATCACGTTTCGATCGCAACACAAGCAATCGTCTTCAGGTGAAAAAAATACAGCAGGCGGACTGCTGAGGCAGGAAGACGGTGTTGCGATCGAAACGTCGTGATTTTTATTTTATTTTATCATTTTTCTATCTACGTGACTTTACCGAAAGACCCAACGAGTATGAATGCCTGTAATCACGAAAGCTTTAAGTCAAGATCTTCAATCAGTGTTGTGCTGCGCTGGATCTGTATAATGTGCCCCATCTTGGTCTTGTTTGGACTTCGCTTTACCCTCCCCTATGGTTCATCTTGGAAGTGCCAACTTTGCATCGCCACCCGTCTCTCTGATCGCC